CACACACACACACACACACACGCACACACACACGCACACACACCCAGGATCAGTGCCACAGGTGTGTTGTTCAAATACGTTTAAACTTTATTGCTGTCTGAGGAAGCACAACCTGCTGAAAGCAACAAAAACATCTGATAAACATGGACAAGTCTGGATTTCCTCCATCAGGTACCTTCACTGCGTTTAAGCTCCGGGCTTTTAGCTTCTTTAAAGACTGTGTTTTACTCTGAAAGGACAGAAGGGCTGATTACTTCCTTTCTGAGCTTCATGAGCTGCACTAGATCAAAGATGATATTTTTGCATCTTTGTGTTTTGGAGCAGCTGTGCATGATCCACAGTTGAAAACAATCCTTCTTTGTTTAAATGAGGCCTCAGCTCAGCTCATGCTGTGTCTGAAACAAGCTGCTTACGTCAACCAGTGCGTCTCTTTTGTCCAGGCTTCAGAGACATTTTGCTCTGATTTTGGTCCTTGCTGATTAACTGCTTGAACCGCAGCAGGAGAAACTGAACTGAAGCTCGCAGTAAATGCATCTTTCTGAAAATAGTCAGGCTGTAATTCAGACGCACAGCAGAGTAAACTCGTTAAACATCCGTTATGCTTTTCTGGACTTCACGAAGCTTTATTGGAGCAGATCCAGCAGACAAACACTAGACTGTTATTCTTACGTTTAATATCTAACATATGCTCGCGTGTTTGTCTAAAGCTACAGCAGATAAAACCAGTTAGTCAGTCCTGCTGGGCTCCCAGTCCAACCGTAAGGGAGGAGCGCGGGCACGAGCCTCCCCCGTGTCCTCGTCGCTTCAGACCTCCGATAAGACGTAAGGACGTCTTCATCTTCACCGCGTTGTCCTCATTCAGTCAGCAGATAAGAGGCAGACTCGTCCCGCTGCTGCTTTGGACAAACGCTCGCAGAGCTTCCTGTGTTCCCGTGCCAGGCTCTCTGAAGGCCAGGAGGAGGAGGAGGAGTGAGGAAGAGGTGCTGGTTGGTGCTCGTGTTTCCGCCGAGCTTCATCAAACAAAACGGCTCTGTGAAGGACTCGCACTCAGACGTCACAAAACGTCATAAAACGAGACAGACTTACAGGAAGTGAGGGCCACGTTGTCTCCCATGAAACGAAAGGGACCTGAACACAGAGAGGTCAAAGTTCACCCTGCCTGACTGAAGCATTACAATGCCTTACTTATTGCAGCATGAGCGTCTCCAGCTGTTTCACAGTTGGCTAATCGGAGATGACGCAGAGTGAATGTGTGATGTTTGTCGATCGTTGATGATGGTTTGAGCTCCTCGGAGTCGCAGAGTGGACCGTGGACTCCTCTGAGCACCAAACTGTTCTGGAGTCAGCGTGAGGCCGTACGACCCACACTGACGAAGTCACACAGAAACATCTCTGACCGAGAACCCGACTGCGATCAGCTGACGAGGCTGAGCGCGCACTGTTGGCCTCGCGGGCTGGTATCTGCAGTCATGTGACCTGCTGAACCACATGAAGGCGCTGGTGTTTGAACCGCACGCTGTAATCTGCAGGAGTTTCACTTTGTGCCTCTGCGTTTGGAGGAGGGCCAGCACGCCGCTGCCGGCCTCCACGCAGCTCCGCGGCGCCCCGTCCTTTAGGGCTTTGTTTTACACGCAGCTGGGAAACAAAAAGATGTGAGCCGCAGCCTGCAGACGTCTAATCATAGACGCTCGCAGCGGGCGGCTAATTTTAGCTTCAGTTTTTTTCTTTTACAACAGATCTACTTTCAGGATCCACTTCACCATCCCAAACCAGACCGCTGAAATCTGCAGACTCCTGCAGAAAACCTCCTGCTCCTCCTCGCCGTGCATTCTTGTGGCGGCTGATCCGCAGGACGCCGGCGTGAAATTATAAAAAGCAGAAGCCTGCAGCCTTTGCTGGGACCCGGCCACGCCTCGCTCCACAAACATAAAGTTAAAAATAACTCTGGACAAATGTGCAGCAGATGATGAAGAAGCTGCCGGGGGTCGGTGTGGATGTCAAACCTGCCTCGTTAACGTCTGATCACGTCAGAGAGAGTGTGTGTGTGTGTGTGTGTGTGTGTGTGTGTGTGTGTGTGTGTGTGTGTGTTTACAGAGGAGTTTAAATGGTTTTTCTGTGACCGATGTTCTAATTTAATCTTAACTTTCAATCATTAAATAATCGTTTCAGTAATAAAGACCAATGTCACTCCTATTTCAAGCCCAGAGATTAAACACACTGCTGTGTGTCCCACCGGAGCTTCTCGTAAAACATCCTGCGCACAGATCGTTTGGCGTCCTGGAGAGATGCTAGCGGGAAGCTTCCCTGCTGACTGGAGCCAATCAGAGAACCAGGGGAAGCAGGTCTGCAGCCGCTCGTCTTCAGAGTTACGTTGCTGCATCAACACGTCAGTGAAGCAGCAGTAAGTCGGACTGCTATCAGTCTGCAGTCGATTGGAGTCAAGTTGGCAACTATGTGAAGTTTGCTGATAGACGTGAAACAGACTCCTCCTTCAATCGTGACGTAGTCGCTGCAGTTTTACTGCAGAAAGACACAAAGGCTTTAAACAGTATAACCCAGCACAGCCGCTCAGTCTCTGCTGGAGAGACGCCTTGCTCGTGGGCAGAGGCTGACTTGATTACCCATCCGTCTGAGAGTGACTGCAGTGAGTCAGTCAGACCCAACTGTTTGGAGGTTGTTAGGTTGCCTCCAACCTGGCGAGGTGGGTCAAGGTTGAGAGTTGCACGCCGGCGGCCACAGCTGTGGCTGTGACTCAGTGCTTTCACTTTAACCTCCGAGGACCTGCGTCCACATGTGTGGACATCACATTTTCGGTTATTTAGACCAAAATACTCAATCTTGCTCTACAAGGGCCTGATGTCCACCTACGAGGACATTATGCTGCTGCTGTTCTATCAAAAGTTTAAACGAATATCCTCGTATGTGGCTCTGAGTTTTCTTAACAACAAAAATAAGGTAAAGGGTTTTTGGTCTCTGCCTGATCACCGCGCGTTAGAAGCCGACTGTTGGTGCGCGCAGAGCTCGGGGAACCAGACCACAGCCTGGGCTGTGGTCTGGTTCCCCGAGCCATCACTCCACTGATCCTCAGCACTCCAGGGCCTGCTGCTGTCAAACAAACTCATTTATGTAAAAATGAAGCGATCACATTATTGATGTGATTATAGAATTATGCCGTTTCGTTCCGCCGTGACGTCCAGTCTTTCTCTGAGAGAGAGGGTGAAGTAGAGTGGTCCCGCTTCACGTGGTGAAACGCAGCGGCGGCGACTTCCTCCCTGCGTTCAGCCCGTTCCTGCATCTCCGCTCATGCTGATTTATTCCTGTTCATTCTGAAATCCAGGTCATTATCAAAGCAGCGCTGTGGTCCCGGAGGGCGAGCCTGCCGTGTTGCCCCGAGATCCTCATTACTTCAAACGCTGCTGTTGTTGTTGGTGAGGGGGTGAGGGGGGTGGCAGCAGACTCACGGTTGAGGTTGTGTCTGTGAAGTCCCTACAGGCTGACCTTTGACCCCTGACAGTAAACGCTGCAGCTCCTTTGATCGCTGTGTTTACAGGTTTTGACGTAAGAAGTCAGAAGATGTTAAACTGGTTTCCATGAGCTCCTGAACCTGCGCAGAGCTCTGACTGCTGATAACTCAGCAGGAGAGAGACGCTCCGACTTCCTGTTGCTGACCGTGGCGTCACGATGACACGCTGATTAGACGCCATCATACCAAACAGAGCCCGGACCGTCGAGGAACCCCTCGCTTCAAGAAGGACGGCATTCCAGCGAGCAGCAGTGAAAACGAGGCTGTGAGACGAGGACGGGAACGAGTCTGTGGTGTCGCCCCCGGCGGCGAGGAGACTTTTCTGGCAGCAGATCAAAGAGGCGCCGAGCTTCATCTCTCAGTGTCTGAGCAGCAAACCTGCTGAGGAGGTCAGGGCCGGGCCAGAGGCTAATGAAGCGTGCTCGGGAGGACGATTTACGATCCGGTGTCCCCGTCTGCTGCAGGAAGCTTCTCCTCCCATCGGCTCTGATTGGATTTCCTCCGGTGGAAGAGAGTCTCTGACACCTCGTCATCCCGCAGCAGTGAGACGTGGACGTTTTCACCGACTCATGAGCTTCCACCTGCGGTCCAGACGCCTCTGACCACCGCTGGAAAGAAAAGTTCTAACGATGGATCGCGTGAGCTCATACAGGACCGCACTGTGGTTAGTTTGGACCCTGCAGGCTGTCAGCAGGACAGCAGTAAGACACGCACAGGAAGGTCAAAGGTCAAATTAACCTGTCACACAGCCACAAACACATCAATGTTACCCAGAATGCATCTGCCATTATACTGCGTTCAAAACTGTAAAGACAGCGGTGGAGGAGTTTGTGAGGAAGTGAAACGGCCGTTTGGTTCATGAATGTGAAAAACTTCTCGTTTTCAGATTCGTAACATCACAGACAGAAGCTCCGCCCATCTGTGTGTTTAAGCCTTCTGTCTGCAAAGGGCAGCCAATCAGAACAAGGTTAGCTTGAAGCAGTGGTTCTCCTGCAGCTGGTTTATAACAGCTGGTCTGTTTGTCAGAAACAGACACGCTGTCAGTTTAAATCCTACATTACCCATGATCCTTTAGCTCAGCGTTATTCTCGGTTTCAGTCTTTAAGTCAATGAGCTTCGTGTACGTTTGACGTTTTAACCACGTGTTCCAGCCGTCCTCCCGTCCAGCTTCACCTGAACGATCTGCTGGACGATCACATGACCACGATCACATGACCACGATCACATGACCACGATCACATGACCACGATCGGGCGCTCATCTTCTGTGTGTTCTTGTGTTTCAGAGCTGCTGGGCTCCACTAAGAGGCTGAATGTGAACTACCAGGACTCAGATGGGTGAGTGATGAAGTCAACACTATAAAAAGACGTTTTCTGGGCTGCTCCGCCCAGCGAGGGAGCTTTTTTTACTCTCTGCTCCCCGAGCTCCTATAAAAAGTTTCCACTCTGAACTGCTGAGTGGACGGAGCACAAACTTTGTTAAAGCTTCTTTGTTCTGGTTCTTTAGCGCGTGGGTTTGAGACGTTCATCGGCCGCTTCAACACAGCAGCCTGGAAGGACACGAGGAGACTTTAATCTGTCCTCGTCGAGTCCCCGAGGTTGTTTCCTCCCTCCTCAATCTGACGAGCACGTCTTTATATCCTCTCTGTGCATCCTGGAGGTCAAATAATAATAGAGCAGGAAAAACAAATAAAACGTTCAATTATGCTGTTCGACTAATTTATTGTAGAAATGGAGTTAATTAGACGGCGATGTGCAGGTCAAATATCAACACCAGATGTCTCTGTGGTGTATCAGGTGTGGCGTCTGCCGTGGGTCCCATGAATCAGGAAGTGTCAGCTGGGCGTCGAGCTTCATACAACACACGTTTGACTCCTTTCAGCTTTAAGTCGACACAAAAGCTCACAGACCGTCTGCAGACCACCGCGCCACCTTCAAGTGTCCGGCTCCTTTTGTGGGCTCCACAGAGGGCCGGAGGAGGAGGGCTGGTGGAAGCGGGGTCAAAGGTCAGGGGGGAGAGCGGCGACCATTAAGATAGGAGTGTTTACAAAGAGCCCGGATGACTTAATGCAGCGCTGACAGCAGAGGTCAGGAAAGGTTAAAGAGAGAGGAGACAAGTGGGCTCCTTAAGGACGGACGCTGGGAAATAGTGTGTGTGTGTGTCTGTGTGTGTGT